ACTAAGACTTAAAACTTTAAGTAAAGTTTATTAAGTTAATTTTAGGGAACGTTGTGGAGTGAAAGAAGATGTAGTGTCGAGGATTGAGAAAGATATGTTGAGATGGTTTGGGCATATAGAGAGGATGAACGAAAGGAGATAGACGAAACAAGTATGCAAGACGAGTATGGATGGGAGATTTGGAAGGGGTCGACCTCAGCGAACATACCTCAATCAGATTGAGGATGTTTTTAGCAAAGGCCAGCTTAGGAGTACCCTAATTAAGTTAATAACAATGTACCTACCTATATAGTTTAAGTTTAAAAAATTTGGCTCTCAAAAGAAATTTCAATCGTTGTACTGTTGATATTTGGCTCTGTTGACTAATGAGTTTGCCGACCACTGCCCTAACCCATATCCACTTCTGAGAAGTTCCCTCCACTTATTTTGTGGGTGCTGTAACAATCTTGGCTCTGGGCTGGACAAATGGCTTTAGTTGTAGCTATTCAGTATAGGTTCCTCAGACTTCCACACCACAGGGACAGAAGGAAACTATACTGACTCCCCTGACCACTCTAGGCCACTGTGCATCTACTATTAGCAGACACTTCCCTGTGCTCCCTTGCATGCCTGGTTGCACATCGTCATGCTGTGTTTCCTTCCCACTGCTCAGATACCCCAGTCACTCTCAGAACCAGAGATGGCATTCACAGTACTTGCTGGCCACATCCCTTTGTAGGGAAACTGCTTGAACCCACGGCCCTGTTCTCTGAAACAGCCATACCTCAAGCCCTAGTCCCACAGCCACTGCACAACTATAAGGAGTGAGCACAACTGACTCAAGTCTGTCCAAAGCTTGAAAAATAAAGGTGGTTCAATCAGACTCCCTCCTTGGAAATTGTAACTAGGAAACACCGAGAAAAAGACCATCAATGGGAATTAAAGGATGAAATTAAAAGGATGTAAAAGGTGGAAAAAGGCTGTGTGTATTTACAAATTGTGAAGAAGCAGAAAGCATAGGGAAAATAATGACAAGCGGAAGTTATGAGGAAGAAAGGACATCCAGCAAAGCTACTGATAAGAAGAGAAAAGCAGATGTACAGAGAAGCAAGAAAACAGAACACTCAGAACTGCACAGCTGGCCCTGAGCCCTTTCTAATCCATCCTCAGGGGCGTGCGACACAAGGAAGCCTGCTTCTCACATCTATGTGCCCTCACAGCAGCATGACTAATCCCTGAAGACTGGCACTAGCTCACAGTCCTGTCCTCTCTTCTGCTGCCACCATCACAGGAACTTTCATGCCAAGTAGAACCCTGATTCTTGCCTCTGACACCTGCTGTGAACACTCTACATCAGCAGCCCTCCCCCAAATAGGACAGCACAACCCGGCCAAGTTCTGTTTGGCACCCTAAGCAAAACTGCTAGAGCACCATCACCAGCCTGCACCAAGTAATGCTCCACGCACTGCCTGCTGCTCCCCCACCCCTCTGCCATTTCCTGAAGTGGCTGGCCCTGTCACCCTCACTCTCCTCAAATCTTCTCCAGCAACCCTTTGCTGGCAGACTCCCTTGAGAAACTGAGGCTATTAGAAACCTTTACCATCCTGCCCTCAATCATCTATAGCTGTGACAATATTCTAAAATTAAAGGCAGCACCACTTATTCTTGTCCCTTCCTTCCTTCCATTCCCCTAATCTTCATTTTCTCTAGTTGTTGATAAACACAGCTTATAGGCAACCTCTCTCCTATTTTCCAAGCAGCTTACCATCAACACACTATTGTTGTTAATTTAGCTTTAGGTCTCCAGTTAATGCTTCCATTTTACATTGGGGAATATGTGGCTTTGCAGGCTTCCCTCACCCCTCCCGACCCCAGAGTATGGCCAGAATGCAGTCATGGTAGGACAGGGGCATTTTGTGATCAACATGAAATTTAAAACCGTATCTGCAAGTTTTCTCTATCTTTTTTTATTATATATTTTATTACATATTATTTTTTACAGGTATATGAATTGATAGAGGAGGGAAACACAGAGTTGACAAGATACAGTCACACAAAGTCCACCAGCACATTTTTTAAAATGGGAGGATCCACGTAGCCTAATTAAATCCCACCTCTGCTGATCACTATTCATGTCACCTTCCTCCTTAAACTTCAATCAGAATTATTCACTCCCTCTGATGTGGTGGATGGTATTTTAGCTGCCTCCCCTCATCCTGCAGAGGATGCAATGGGAGCTCTAGAGGTAGTTTATGGACTTCAGGGTACAGTACACAGAAAGTAGGACAGTTATTAAAATAATGCTCATTTTAAAAATTTAGTTTGGAAATATGGTACTTTTAGAGACTTAAGCCATTCTGATCTAATTTTTTTTCCACCAGCTTCTAAATTCTATGATCCAAACTTTTGAATTTGGGACTTTTTTTGTAACTTATTACCAGAGCAAGGGATGGACTAGAAAAAAAAGAAATTTTTATTTTTTGAAAGGAAAAAAACATTTAGATGGGGATTAAAAGGACTGGTATAAGCTTTCTCAAAAAAAGGGGGAGGAAGGAATTTGTTCATAATAATATATCTGAGTGTTTTACGAAGTCTTTATAACAATAAGCATGTTAAAGGTATTATCACAGATCTTTCAATTAAATAACAAAGTTAAGTATTATAAAATCAAGTTTTTTACTGGATTCACTTTTTGATTAGGTATTAACAAATAATATATCACAATAAAAATTTTTGATTTTTTTAAATTGATTTCAGAGAGTAAGGGGAGAGAGAGAGGAAGAGATAGAAACATCAATGATGAGAGAGAATCATTGATCAGCTGCCTCCTGCATGCCCCCTACTAGGGATTGAGCCCATAATCTGGGCATGTGCCCTAACCGGGAATCCAACTGTGACCTCCTGGTTCATGGGTTGATGCTCAACTACTAAGCCACACCAGCTGGATAAGAATTTTTTTTTAAGTTTAATATAACTTATAAAGAACTGTAAAATATAAACATATAGATGTGGGGGGAGGGCACGTGTGTGTATCTGTCCATTATTTTTCTAATTCTCAATGATACACTTCCTCTAACTACTGATAGATTTCCCTTCACTGGGAAATGACTCTTTTGGTCATGATAAAATAATCCTGGGTCTTATGTAAAAGTTCTATGATAAACCTGCCGACTTTTCGTTTCCACAAGGGTGGGGTTCTAAGCAGAAGCCAGCTGAGTTAGCTGTGCTCTCTTGTGGAATTCATACTATGTCATACCATAACTTATCAGCCCTAGAATGTACCTTTTACCTTAGTCGATTAAATACCCAAATTTTCAGGTAAGGGCATGGCAGATACATAATTTTAGGGGTGGGCATGAGGAGAGAAATGTTTATTGCCCTTAACTATTTCTTACATACCTGCAAACCACTAAAACACGGAACAAAATAAACCCCTTCAGAATCTTCCAAACTTCTGGCCATTTTTTCAGTCTCAGCAGCATCTGTGAAAAGATCTGCAAACATAAAAACAAACAAACAACAACAAAAAATGTCTAAAACAAAACGAAAAGGTTGAGGAGGAACAAAGTATTGTGTTATATGACCAATATTTACCTGTGTCAACATTTATTATGAATTTAATATGAAAGATTACTCACTTAAAAGGGTCAACACAAAGGCCAATCTATTTGAGTTCCTTTACTTGCCTGGGTTTGGGAGCCCATAGAAGGGCAAGGGAACCAGAGGCCCTCTTAGCTCAGCATGCAGCAGGCCTTACTTTTCCTTTAAAGATATTTAGGCTGTCTAAAAATATAAATTTTAGGTGTGTTTTTGGCATTAAAGTGCATTCTTCTGAAGATTACACCCATTCCAGTTTTTTGATGAAAAGATCTCTCTTGGTCATTAAAATCTAGGGGCCTGGTGCATGGATTCGTGCACTGGTAGGGTCCCTCAGCCTGGCCAGCACCCTCTCGCAATCCGGGACCCCTTGGGGGATGTCAGACTGCAGGTTTTGGCCCAATCCCTGCAGTCCGACATCCTCCAAGGGATGTAGCAGTGCAGGAAGCGGCAGGCAGCCAGGGAGGAGCCAGGGCCAGGCGCTGCTCCTGCTCATCCCAGCCCCACTGCACCTGCCGCTGCCGCTGCTTGGTAGTGCTACCACAGAAGCGGGAGAGGCTTGTGCTGCTGCAGCTGCGCCATGAGCCCAGCTTCTGGCTGAGCAGTGCTCCCGCTATGGGAGTGCACTTATCACCAGGGGGCTGCTCCTACATTGAACATCTGCTCCCTGGTGGTCAGTGCGTGTCATAGCGACCAGTCAACCGGTCAGTCAGTTGCTCAGGCTTTTATATATATAGATAATAACCAAGAGAATCAACTGAAAAACTACGGATCTTAAGGGTTCGATAAGGGGCAGTAACAATTAAATATATCAAAAGTTAACCTTTAAAAAACAACCAGACCAAAAAAAATCAAGATCTAATTCATTTAATATGCTTTTTACTGATATATATATACAGAAAAATGCACAAAGCCCAAGTGTATAGCTGAATGAACTTTCACAATGTGAATATAATAAGCTAACCAACACCCAGATCAAGATACAAATTTCTTTGTTCAACATCATGCTTGTGAGATTCAGTCATTTTGTTACAAGTAGTTGTGCTTCATTCATTCTCACCCTGTAAGGTATTCCACTGTGTGACCATACGCAAATGATTAGACTAGCTATAGTTAATAAACATATGGGTAGTTTCCAGTTTTAGGCTAATAATGAACAGGCCACTTTGAACTTACAGATATTCTTTTTGGTGAACATATGTATACATTATTTGCTATATACCAAGGGATGAAATTGCTAGTCCTAGGAGCTTCACATTTAGGACTAGCTTTAACAGATAACTGTAAACTACACTGAGTGGCCAGATTATTATGACCGGCCAGATTATTATGACCACCCCATCAGTACTTTGTTGGGCCACCTTTTGCCTTCAATGCTGCGGCAATTCTTCTTGGCATTGACTCCACGATATGTTGAAAGGTGATGCAAGGAATCTGACATCATGCCTAATGAATAGCATTGTCCAGTTCTGTGAGATTTGATGGTTGTGGAACCAGCTGCATGATGGCTCTTTTAACTTCATCCCACAAACGCTCAATTGGATTGAGATCTGATGACTGTGGGGGCCACTTAAGCAAGGTAAAGTCTCCCTCATGTTCTTGAAACCACTCCTGCACAATACGAGCACCGTGGCATGGTGCATTGTCTTGTTGGAAGAAGCCATCTCCATTGGGATACGCCATCAACATGATAGGATGAACTTGATCAGCAATGATACTTAGGTATGTTGTGCTATTCAGACATTTATAATGATCTGGCCCTCTAGCAACTTCAGCGCGAAATTATAGCTAATTTGCCTACAAACATCAGGTGGTCATAATAATCTGGCCACTCAGTGTATTTTCCAAAGTGGTTCTACCAATTTAAGACTCCTGTATGGGAGTTCCAGTTACCCCATATTCATGCCAATAATTGATACCGCCTGTGTTTTTCATTTTAGCCATTTTGGTGGTATTGCATGATGGTTAGATTTTGTATTTCTCTGTTTACTAATGAAACTTCAATCCTTTTCATTCATCATTTGCATATCTTTGTTTGTGAAGTGACCCCTAAATGAGATCTGGGACTGACAACATAGATCTGATGAAAAAGCTCAGAAATCAATCATAATAAACATTGCTGCCTTATATAGCCTTTATTAAGTCAGTTTTATTTCTGCATGATTTTTTCTTATGAGAAAGAATTTGACAGCTGTCAGCCAGCTTTCTATACTCTGTCTCTATTCTGCTTATTAGTTCATTTTGTTCATTAGATTCCACATATGAGTAAAATCATATAAGTCTTAAATTCTGATACCTATGAATGTGGCTTTATTTGCAGATGTAATTAGTCAATTTTAGGTCGTACTGGATGAGGATGAGCCCTAATCCACTGACTGGTGTCTTTATTAGAAATCACTGAAAACATAGTCACAGACACACAGGGACAACTCATGTGAAGAGAGAGGCAGAGGCTGGAGGAAAGCAGCTCCAGGCCAAGGAGCTCTAAGGACTGCCAGCCACCACCAGAAGCCAGGAAGAGACAGAAAGCTACCGACACCTTGATATTTGACTTCTTGCTTCCAGACCTGTGAGAGAATAAATTTCTATTGTTTTTAAACCAACAAGAAAAGAAAAAAAAAGAGAGAGAGAGAAAAATAATTGATTAAAGACAAGAAGTTTAAGAAATATCTATATTAAAACTCAAGTTTATGAGGATCATTCAATAATAATTATAAATTTTCTTCAAAATGACAGTTATCAGAACCATAAGTCACATTCACTTGGTCAAAATGTCCAGATAATACATTAAAATGTCTGTAGCACTTCAAAAACTGATATTAAAAAGAAAACATTGGTTTTGAAATCTATACTTACTAAAAAGTCATGTCCAAATGTCTAAATTTCAAAATTGAGATGTGGAAAACATATTGGAGGTCTGGTTTAAAGAACATTTCTGGTAACATGAAGAAATGGGAAAAAACCTAGTTTATCCACATTCTTCACTGGTTCTTCCATTCTTTCTTGAAAAATTTCTCTAACTAATCTTCCATGTGAACTGTTCTCAAATGAGTGTAGACCTCACTCTGTTTCTCCCATAGCATGCAGAGAAGAATCCTGGCTGGGGCTCCTAGCCACGCTATCTGAGGGCTTGAGCAGAAGAACAAGCTTGCAGTTAACACTGGAACTCCAAGTTCTACCAAATTGGTAGGAAGTTCCCTGCATTTTTATTTCCTCCAACATCCTGGCCTAGACTCAGAGACGGCCTGAAACCAGAAACATGTGTCTGTGCACTGGGTGCAAATACGAAGAGCTTCTACATAAGCCCCCTCTTTCTGGTCTGAAGAGCAGGAGTCAGGTGGCCTTTAAAAAATAGAGTGGGGAAGTTATCCTTCTTTATGCGTGTGTGTTTTTCATTCTACCTGAACAAGAGAGGAGGAAGATAGAGACAGGGTGAGAGAGAGAGAAGAGAGAGAGAGGAAATAAGAAGAGAGCCTCAGGGGTCTGTGGGACAGTAAGAAAATGCATAACATTGCTGTCATTTAAATTCCAGAAGACAAAGAATGCACCGCAGAATAACTATTTGCAGAAAAACATGTCTGTAAGCTTCCCACAGAGCAATAAAATGAACAAAACAGAGATGAATTTCAAAGGCATTACACTAAGAAAAAGAAATAGTCTTGGCTGATTCTACTCTGTGAGTCCAGTTACTGTGTACGAGATTGTGGAAGAGGTAAAAGTATAGGGATAGAGGAAAGATTAGTTGCTGCCTGAGATTAGAGTGGGACAGGGATTGACTACAAAGGAGTGACACATGGTAATTTGGGGTTGATGAAAGTGTTTAGTACAATAGTCACAATCCTGATTGTGGTAATGGTTATTCAGTCTATGTAGGTCTTAAAACCAGTAGAAGTATACACCAAAAAAAACCAAACCAAACACAAGCACTTATAAACATATTAGAGGCCCAGTGCATGAAAATTCGTGCACTCGGAGGGGCGAGGGGGCCCCTCAGCCCTGCCTGCGCCCTCTCACAGTCTGGGAGCCCTCGGTCCTTACCACCTGCCTGCTTGCTGCTCCTTAGTGCTGCCTCCGAGGCGGGAGAGGCTCCTGCCACGGCCGCTGCACTCACACAGTTTCTGGTTGAGCAGTGCTCCCCCTGTGGGAGCGCACTGACCACCAGGGGGCAGCTCCTGCATTGAGCGTCTGCCCCCTGGTGGTCAGTGTGCATCATAGCGACCAATCATTCCGCCATTCAGTTGATTTGCATATTACCCTTTTATTATATAGATTAGAAATAGCATATAGACATAGTATAAAGACAGACTGAGTATGACGGTGGTTTCACAGATGTATACTTTGTCAATACTCACTGAATGCTCTAAAAAGGTTAATTTAATTACATGTAATTTACATGTCAATAAAGTTGATTTAAAGTGATTTTTTTTCTCAAAAAGAGGGAAAGAAATTCAACTTCACTCATAAGAGAAATGCCATTTAAACACTGAGATGTATTTCTCACCCGTCTAGGTTGGCAAAAATTCAAAAGCTTGATAATATATAAGACTTCTACTTCAGCCTCCAACTTCTGCAGTTCATCCAACCAGATCATTTGATTATGCAAAAGACACTGAAAAAGGAGGCTGTGGGGAAACAGTCACATATATTTCTGGAAATAAAAAATTAAACAATTCCTATGGAGGGGAATTGACAATATCTTAACAAAACTACAATGCATTAGTCCTCTGACACAGCAATCCCACTTCTGAGAATTTATTCTTAAGACACACCTTCCACAACATAAAAACACGTATGTGCAACGTTATTCACTGCAGCATTATTTACATTTTGAAAATATCAGAAACTCCTCAAATGTCCAAATATAGGCTATTTGCTGGCTAAGCTATGTACATACACG